TCCTCTTCCTCCAAGGGGGACAGCCCAGAGCTGAAGCCTCGCGCGGTGCACAAGCAGGTCAGTGTGCCACTGTCAGAGGGCGGGACTGGGCTCTTGGGTTAGGTGGGCCATCGTTCCCCATCTCGTGCTCCTCCTGGGTCATCTCGCCTCCACCTGCACCAACCGCCATCCCATGCAATGCTGCCATGTCCCGCCCATCCCACCAGCCTGCCGCAATCGCCCCCACCTCCTCCCTTGCACCCAGCTCCTGCCTGAATCCAGTGAACCAGGGACACTGTGGCTTTAGGGAACTCAGGGGCCTTCAGCCTGTTTCCCCAAGAACAGGCGGGGAGCAGAGAGAAAGAGGGAGGGGCCCATCCACTGCCAGTCCTAATAAGCCTGTAAAACCTCCAGCCCAAAGTAGAGTCACCCTGGCCCCACACTCCCTCCCAAAGGGTTTTGCAGTCCATAGAGTGGACATGCTTTGGACTGACTGCCCAGCCCAGCCCCATCCACCTGTTGGCTCAGCCCACCACAGCGTCCCCAGTGTCAGGCTCACTTGCTGTCACCTCAGTGCAGAGTGCGGTGCTCAGGAGATCACCCAGGCTGTTAACAGGCCCCGCCTCTGGCTGCCGTCCGGGGACATTTCCCTGGGGGAGGGCTGCCTCGGTAGGCGCCCGGTCAGCTGGAGGCCCCCTCCTTTCCTGCTGCTCCCTGAGCCGCTTGTCCCCGTGGCTCACCTGGCACCATCCCTGCCCTTCCCCCTCCCCACGCCTCCCTCCAGCCCCTCACAGCTGTGTTTCATTGTAGGGCCCTTCACCCGTGAGCCCCAATGCCCTGGACCGCACGGCCGCTTGGCTCTTGACCATGAACGCGCAGTTGTTAGAAGACGAGGGCCTGGGCCCAGACCCCCCCCAAAGGGATAGGCTAAGGAGTAAGGAGGAGCTCAGCCAAGCAGAAAAGGTAATGCTGAACCCTGGCAGGGCGGGGCTACTCCCGGTGGCAGCTGGCAAGAGTCTCCCCCAGAGTCCTTGCGGAGGGGGTGCTGTGTTCCTGCCAGTGGCCACTCCCCTCTGAGCTCCCATCCCACGTGAGGAGAGTAGCCAGTGGGATCTGAAAGAAGAGTGGTAGGAGGGATTTAGCTTAGACCTGAGGTTTCCTGTGTTCATATCAGCATCCCCTGGACATGGTCTTGGATCCAGATTCCCGGACTCTGGTGATGGACCTTCTGGGAGGGCTCCTTAGCTCAGGCGATGGAGGCATTTGAACTTCTGGGATCTGGGGCTTGAGGGCCGAGGGTACCAGAGAGGCATACAGAGGCCCTCTGGGAGAGCCTCATGCACAAGGAGAGGGAGGTATGGGGCACCAGGGCAGCCGCCCAGCCAGTTCCCCCAGACTTGTGCCTGCCCATAGCCTGGCTCTTCCCAGCTCTGGTCTCCACCAGGGCCTGGGAAAGAAACAGAAAGAGTTGCCAGGCGAGGGTGGGGTCAGATGGCCAGTGGGATATTTTTTCCCACCCCAACACCCAGCATTTGCTGGGGCAGAGGGTGCTTCGACCAGCCCCTAAAACTTCCAAGTTGCAGCAGCCACCCTGGGTCCCTGGATAGTTCTTGTCTCCCACTAGAAATCAAGGTCCAGGTAGATAGAGGACCCAGTGCAAGGCCCCCAGAATGGCAGGCATGTCTCAACTTCCCTCTGGGTGTTCTTACCTTCGGGCCCCACGAGAGCCTGTGGCAGCCTCTGAGCAAGGGCACTGGGTTGGGTGTCAGAGCTCCCTCTTCCGACCTCAGCGAGGTCCATCTCCATGCTGCATCCCGCCGCCCTCCGCCATCCCCTGGCCTGCTGCATCCACCTGCTTTCACCATAATTATGTGAAGGGGACCAGAGAGCAGGGGACACACACTGAGCTCCAGGAGCCAGAGTTTGGCTCGGGAGTGAGGAGGCCTGGCCTCCCCCCAGGCTCCCTGCCTCCCTTAGTGCCTGTGTTCTCATGGCATCTGGCCCTTCTCGATTCTGTTGACCCTGCTTCCCTCCTGTGTGGAGCACCTGGCCCCTCTGTCCAGCCTGCTCAGCTTCCCCCTTTCTTCAACACCCCTTCACTGACCTGATGGCTGGCATTTGTGCTGGGTTGAGTCACATCCAGAGAGCCTGAACCCCTCTCCACATTTCCCCATGCCACTGCCACCCCCTGGCTTCAGGGCCAACAAAGACTGGGAAGCCTGGATCTTACTGCTGGCCAGTCACTCCATGTGATGGGTCACTTTGTCTGGATCTTAGTTTTCCCTCCTATAGAGCCCTCATCTTTTGGGGTGCTGTCCCCTGTGCTTCACAGATCTCTGTTATGGAAGGTTCAAGACCTTAGGTACACCCTTACTCCCGTGATTTTGGATTGTCTTCGTCCCCCTCATAGCCACATAAATCAGGCTGGGAGCTTGGAGTGGAGAGACCCCAGGTTGCGGACAGGTCTGGATCTTACTGGCTGGGCTCCCAGGGCATCTCGTTGCTGTGTCAGGTGGGCGGGTCACATCTGCCCAGACTCCGTCTCTCCCTGCCTTCCCGCCTGGGCTGATGAGGCTGCGTTCTCTCTGTCCTGGGTGCTGTGCCCGTGGCACGCTGCCCAACCGGCAGGACCTGGCAGTGCTGCAAGACAAGCTGCGAATCTCCACCAAGAAGCTGGAGGAGTATGAGACCCTGTTCAAGTGTCAGGAGGAGACGACACAGAAGCTGGTGCTGGAGTACCAGGCACGGCTAGAGGAGGGTGAGGAGCGGCTGCGGCGGCAGCAGGAGGACAAGGACATACAGATGAAGGGCATCATCAGCAGGTGGGGCCCGCGCCTGCCCTGGCCCAGCCCGCGTGCACAGACAGTGCAGCCATCCACAGCCCTGCAGGAGGCCCCAGATGGGGGATGATTGACTGAAGGATATGCAGAGCATGGGGAGGGGAAGGAAGAGTGTCCCAGGCAGTGGGGCTGTGCGTAAGGCCTGGCAGCAAGAGGTGGCTCAGAGGATGGGCAGCCCCACATGGTACAGTGGTAGCAGATGAAGGCGAAGCAAAGTTGGGGTGGCAGAAGTGAGGCTGGACCAGCCAGAGCAGTTTCCAGAAGGTCTGCCCTGTGAGGGGTCGCATCATCTGGGAAACACTCTCCAGAGTGTAAAGCTGGATTTGGGGGACTAGAAAAGATAGCACCTGGTTCAGGGCAGGAAAAATGGGAATGAATGTCAGTTACATGCAGGTAAAGGTGAGAGTAGACACAGAATAAGCCCAGATTACTACTAAGGGCATCCAGGTATGAATGTATCAGGGCACCGGTTGGTTACAAGACAGAACTGTAAGAGCAGTAATTTGGATGGGGAGGGAGAGGAATAGACATGGCCAGTTTAAGGTTCCTGGGTTATCCAGGAATTTCTAGGGGAACAGCTGGCTTTAAGGCTGACTGTTGTCTTTATTAAAGGCTTATGTTGGGTCCTGTATTGACTTCCTTATCTCTCTCTGCCTGGAGTCAGGTAGGCTTACCTGCCTTGGTGTCTGTAGGCAGGGAGCGCAGTCAACACAGGGCCACAGTAATACCAGGCACAAGAGGAGAGACAGTGTGGCTTTATGTCTTGTTTATCTGCATGGTCTAAGACCCCATCACCTGGTTAGACTGGGCAGGTGTGCAGGAGTCAGGAAGTCCTCCCTGCCCATGCTTTGTCCACAGTATAAACCCTTTCTAAATTCCTCCTATTTATCCACCTGTTTCTCTGCTCCTGACTGTTGTTTGCTTCATTTACTTGCGGTTTACTTCTTTGTAAAGTAGTAACATGAGTGGAAATGGGGTGACTGAAAACATACTGTTCACTTGACCTCCAGCTCTGCCCTTGGCTCACCTTGGTGTATGCAGTTCCAAGAATGGAAACTCTATTCCACTTCACCACCTTCTTCACATTGTGTTGATTCTCTAAGAAGTGCATACTCTTCTGAATCCAGAGGTTTGCTTAACACATTTAATTCTACTGGCCAATCCTAGTATATTTCCTCCCTAATGTAAGTGTCAGTTAGGTAGATGGTGTTGTTCAAATCTTCTTTGACTTTACTGGCTTTTCTGTCTGCTTGTCTACTCTTGCTCCATCGATTATTGAGAAAAGGATATTGAAATGTCTCATCATAACTATGGATTTGTCTGTTTTTCCTTTCATTTCTATTTTTGCTTTATGTACACTGAAATTCTGTTCTTGGATGCATACATATTTAGGCTTGTTATGTACTGTTAATGAACTTACCTCTTTATCGTTATAAAATTATCCTCCTTATTCCTCGTAATATTCCTTGCTCTGAAATCTACCTTGTCTGATATTGATATAGCCAGCCCAGCTTCCTTTCGATTAGTGTTAGTGTGGTATATTTTTTACCATCTTTATGCTTTTAACCCACTGTCTTAGTCCATTCAGGTTGCTATAACAAAATACCTTAGACTGGGTGATTTATAAACCAAAATGTACTGCTCACAGTTCTGGAGACTGGGAAGTCCAAGATCAAGACACTAGCAGATTCATTGTATGGTGACGGCTATCTGCTTCACATATGGTGTCTTGTGGCTGAGTTCTTACAGGGTGGAAGGGGTGAATAAGCTTCCTCAGGCCTCTTTTATATGGACACTAATTCCATTCATGGGGAAAGCCCTCGTGAATTTAGGGGGCAGCTTGGAGCACGAGCATTCAAACCATAGTACATATTTATATATATGAAGTGAGTTTCTTTTACAGGCACCTTATCATTGGGTCTTGCTTTTTATCTAACAGGTTCTGCCCTTTAATTGGAATGTTTAGGCCATTTACATTTAATGTAATTATTGTTGTAATTATGTTTAAATCTATTATCTTGCTGTTTGTTTCCTATTTGTGCCATCTGTTCTTCCTTTTTTCTCTTGCCTTGTTTTGCGCTAAGTATTTTTTATGATTCCATTTTATCTTTTTTATTGACTTATTAGCTATATCTCTTTGCTGCTGTAGGGCAGTTGGCAAACTTTCTATAGAGGGGCATATAATAAGTATTTTAGGTTTTCTAGGCCATATGGTCTCTGTTGCAACAACTCAGCTATGCTGTTATAGCAGAACTATTTGTGTGAGATAACTATTTACAAAAATAGGCAGTGGACCGCTTGTGGCCCTCACCCTCAGGCTATCATGACAGGGACTCTGTCATTATCTTTGTTCCCTGTACTTAATGTATCTTTTTCCTCTGGCCGTTAAGGAGATATATTTCTTCATCATGACTGTCAGTAATTGGTGATGATGTGCATTGGTGTGGCTTTCTTCGAGTTTCTTAGAGGTTGGATTTGCAGGCATACAGTCCCACCTCCCCCGTCTCTTTCTCTGGGACTCCTACCACACGTACGTTAGGCTGTTTTCTCCTGTCTCATATCTCACTGATGCTCTGCTGTTTTCTTTTTTCATTTTTTCCTGTTTTTTTAATCTTAGACAATTTCAAGTTTGCTAATCATTTCTTCTTCAGTATCTGATCTGACATTAATCTTATCCAGTCGTTTTTCATTTCAGCTAATTATATTCTTCTCCTCCAGAATTACATTTTGGTTTAAATTCCAACCATTTTTCTTCTTATCAGGCGCATGCTTTCTTCTGTTTTTTGAAGATATAGAATGTATGTATAATACATTGTTGTTTCAGTGTCCTTGTCTGCAAGTTCTATCATCTGTGACATTTGAGTCTGTTTTTAGATTAATTTTCCTCCTGGTTATGGGTTTTATTTCCTACCTCTCTGCATAGTTGGTAATTGTTGGTTGGATGCCAGGCATTGTGAATTGTACACAATTAGATGCTGGTTGTTTTTGTGTTTATATAAATACTTTTGGACCTTGTCCTGGGATACAATGAGGTGTCTTGGGATCAGCTTAATCCTTTTGAGGTTTATGTTTATGCTTTGTAGGGTGAATCCGGCAGAGTCTCTAGTTAAGGCCTAATTTGGGCCTCCTGTGGAGGCGGTTTCCTTCTGAGATTCTGGTGGGTGCCCCATGTTAGCTCATCTTTCCACTCTAGCTGGTAGAAGCATGAACCGTTGCTGGGACTGTTTCGTTTACTCCTTTCCAATAATTTTTGCCTAGCCTGGTAATTATCTCATCTGCATGCAGGTCGTTATTCCGCCAAAAGCACAAGGGATCCCCCCCTTGGGAGAAAACCATGCTGTTTCTCTGCATCTTTGTCTGTTGGGTGCTCTGCCCCCACATATCCCGCACACATAGACCTTCCTGAACTCCCTGTCCCAACTCTGTGAAGCTGCTGGCTGCCCCTCCTGCTGTGAGCTGGGCTCACCTTGTTGGTTTTCCTCCCCGTAGGAATCACCATACCACATTGCCTATTCTGTCTCAGAGAACTGAGTATCAGTGTCAGATGTTGTGTCCAGTTTCTAGTTTGTTAAGGCATAATTTCCTTTCAACATAATTTCTTTTTTTTTATCAATATTTTTTATTTTAAAGTTGTGGGATACAGTTAATGGTTAGGTATACAAATATGCATCATCCAGGCACCCTTGTTGATAAGGGGTTTCTTCCCATCCCCAGACAGATATTGACTACCGTTAATCCCACCTCCCTTCCCCACCCTCTCCCCCATAGTTTCCCACCACTGTCAATCTTTTTCTTATAGTATTACAATAGATGTTCAGGGTCCACTATATGAGTGAGAACATGTGATACTCAGATCCTTGTTTCTGTGAGAGATCACTCAGTATTATAGACTCTAGTTCCATCCAGGTTGCTGTGAAATTCATGATTTTGTTCTTTTTTATAGCTGTATAGTATTCCATCGTGTATATGTACCACATTTTAAAAAATCCAATCCTCTTTTGTTCACAATAGCAAGAACCTGGAACCAACCATGCTGTCCAACATAATTTCTTTTAATGATACTTTCTAATCCTTCCCCATCCACTCCACACACACAGGCTTTTGTCAGTCTTCCCTTCCTACATTGGGAAACCTACCTCAGAGGCCCCATTCCCTCCCCCTGGTCAGTGTGCCCTGAACCATTGCCCTCCCTGCAGCCCTGCACAGAGTTGCCCAGCACTGCAGCTCCCTGTGTGTTTGCTGTGAGCAGGTGAAGTGCTTGCCCAAGTGCGAGGAGGCCTCTCTGCTTCCCTGAGCTGGAGAAGTTGTGCAGGCAGGGACGGAAAGAAGCCTGGGTGTAGGCAGGCTCATCTGAGAACAGTCTGCAGAGCCCCATGAACCCCCCACCTCCTGGGGCAGACAGGACAAGGTGTCTTGGCAGACCCAGGAAGTGTAGGGTCCCGAAGCCAAAGGAGAAAGTGGGAAGGTAGGCATGCCAAGCAGTGATGGTGCCTCGGGGCCAGGTTGGTTGGGGACTAGGAGGTTCCCAGGGAAGGGACAACCAAGACAGGGCCATCCTGCCCACTCCCACATTCCTGCAGGTGATGTCTTCCCCGCTCCTCTGTGCATCCCCACGCTAGTGGACTTGTCCTACAGATATCTCGTTTTGGTGTGTGACCCCCCTCCCCACCCTCTAGGAGAGGTGGCTCTTCCTGCTCTCTGTTCCATGGACCTGAGCTTCCTGCTTGGCGCAGCCACAGCCTGCAGGGTGTCGTCACTCATAGACGTGGCTGTGTCCCTGCTGTCTTGTGAACTCCTTGAGGGAAAGGCCTGGACTGGGTGCTTTGGGTCCCTTGAGTGCCCAGCACAGAGCCCACACAGCCTTAGTGACTATGGCAGGGGCTGGTTGGGGAAAGTTGTAGAGCCCTCAGTGTTTTCATCTTCCCACCCGCCCACCAGTGCTGAGACATAGCACCTCCTGCCTGGCTCCGGGAGTTGTGATATGATACCCACTTCCACCCTCTTGACTCCTGGAAGAACATCAGGAAAGGGGCAGCCCCAGGGGCTTCTGCGGATTTAGGAGCAGAGCCTGGAGAGTGGGCCATGGAGGTGAGAAAGGGGCAGCCCCAGCTCGTGTCCGTTGCTAGGGGCAATTTGAGGGCCTCCGCCCCAGGCAGGTAGGAGAGTGAGTGTGGCCCAAGGAGGGGGGCTCTCCTAGCATGTCCCTCTCAGTGCAGGTGTGATGGGCTTGTTCCTACAGTGCCCTCATCTGCTCTCTCCTGTGCCAGCCTGACTGTCCCTTTCTCTGGCCCCAGGTTGATGTCAGTAGAGGAGGAACTGAAGAAGGACCATGCGGAAATGCAAGCAGCTGTCGACTCCAAACAGAAGATCATTGATGCCCAGGTGAGGGGCTCTGGCCCTTTGGTCAGCCACAGGTCTTAGAGGACCTGGGCTAGGAGAGGGTGACTTTGGCTTCTCTACATCCCCAGTTCTACCTCCCTGAGGAAGCAAGAGGTAATAAGACACCAGGATCTCTGCCCTGAGAAGTTGGACCTGTGGTCTCAGTGGGCCACAAGCTCACTAGGACAGGCGGTGAAAGGGGAGGGCTAGCTCCTCCCCTGCTGAGGCACTCAGTGGGTATTACCTTTCACTAGGGGTGCTGACCAAAGAGTGGAAGCTACTAGGAGGGGAGTGGGGGAGACTGAGGATGGTGGCGACCGTGTCTGGGTAGGGGGAGTAACGGGGCTCTTACCCAGAGCTGAGGCTTCTAAATTGCATTGGGGGAGACATGAAAGGGACGCAGGCCCACTCTAGCTGGTGGAAACATGTGCCGTTGCTGGGATTGTTTTGTGTACTCCTTTCCAGTGGTTCTTGCCTCGCCTGGTAGTTTTCTCATCTGCGTACAGGTCAGTGTTCCGCCAAAGACGCAAGGGACCCCGCCCCTTGGGAGATAGCGTCTCCTTCACTCGGGGCTTGAGTGCCTTGCCTCTCTCACCCAGGGGCAGGCCAGGCCTCACTCAGACTCTAAACTGCACGGACTGGCCAGGCCCTGTGACCTCTGGGGTACCGCCCGCACACACATGTGAGTGAGGGTGCCCACTCGGACCCTCAGGCAGCTGACAGACCGTGCCACCAAGAGCTGCTCTGTCAAGGGCGAGAGGCAGGCATGCGGCTGCCGCCATGAGACGGTGGAGGCCTCCTCCCTCCCCCACCCGCCAGCTGCTCCACAGCCTGGAGCCTTCCTCGCCCTTTGTGAGCACTGCACCCTGGTCCTCTGTCTCCTCCAGGCCACCCCCGCCACCCTCCCAGTGCTCCTCACAGGCGCATACGGCCTCCCTCACTCTTCCCTTGTCCACAGGAGAAGCGCATTGCCTCGCTGGATGCCGCCAATGCCCGCCTCATGAGCGCCCTGACCCAGCTGAAAGAGAGGTACAGCATGCAAGCCCGTAACGGCATCTCCCCCACCAACCCCACCAAATTGCAGATTACTGAGAACGGCGAGTTCAGAAACAGCAGCAATTGCTAACCCGCCCGAGGAGAGGGGGACTGTGGTGGCCAAGGGCGGGGTCTCGGCCTGGGGCGGCCCCCACGGTCGCAGCCCCAGCGCCCCAGCGCGGGTGGTCCAGGAGGCCGAGTCTCCCCTCCCCGCCGCCGTCCAGGAGGCGGCTGCAGAGGGAGCCGCGAGAGACTGAAGCAGCGTGAGGCGGGGTCACCAGCCGCTCCCCCTGCGCTTCCTGCCCAGAGCGTGTGGGGTGTGGGCAGAAGAGACTGCACGCCGGGGAGCGGGGGCAGCCTGTGGGGTAGGGGCCCTCCAGAAACATGTCTGTTGGTTCCTGAATGCGGCGCGTGTCACCTTGGCCTCCACCTGGCAGAGTGCATGTGTCCCCACACCCTCGCCAGGGAGGGGGGCTGCCTGGAGGGGGCGACTCAAGGGCTAGGGGCCCAGGACTTCCTGGCAGCCAGGCTCTGCGCTGTGGGACCTGCCCCTGGCAGGCCAGTTGGCAGGCAGGGAGACGGTGGGGAGGACACAGGGGCAGGTGGTCGGGGTCCCCTGCCCATCTCCACTCTGAGCCCCTGCCACTGCATGCAGCCTGTCGGGCCCCTCTGGCTGTGAAGACTGAGGATTCACACCCACCACCCCTCTGTGCCTGTCCCCAGACCCCCACCCTGCACCTCCTTCCCTGCGAACAGACCATGTGAAGACTGTGGCTTTTTCTTCGGGCCCTCATAGCTGTAGGGCAGGCCCGGAGCGCCCCACACTTCCCACGCAGGCCCAGGCTGACGCTCTGGGACTCCCAGAAGCCAAAGATCTGGGCTGAGCTGGCTGGAGGGCCCTGTGTACTGTATCTGCCTTCTGGGGCCAGTGCACCCAGGGCACAGTAGCCCATAGTGAATGACCACCTGGTGCTTGCCCTGAGAGAAGAGGTCATCTTTCCTCTGATTGATGGTTTAAAAAAAATCTGATGCCCACAGGCCCTGAGAAGGTGGATAACTGTGATTTTTTTTCCTTTCACAGTATGCATTAGAAACAAAAGCCCGCTTGCTCGCTTGCTGGAACACAGGGGCCTTTTAATTTGAGCGTGCGCACTGCATGGGAAATAGCGGCCCTGGAGGATGTTAGACTTGCTCCCTCTCCAAGACAGCAGCGGCCTGCACCAGGCCCCGCGTGTGCGGCCGCCTCCTCCTCACCCTCCTCGGCCCCCAGCCGAGGACCCAGGCGCTGCAGACAGGGAAGGGGCACACCCCACAGCTGGGGCTGGTTTTCCTCAGCTCTAGGCTGTTCTGTAGCTTATCTGCCCCTCCCCACCTTGTGGGACATAGATGGGCGGGAGCTTGGATCTCTCTCGGCCCCTGTCCATTCCCAGCCCCTCTCTGTTCCCAGCCCCGCAGATCCCAAGCTCTGGTCCCCAGTGACCTAGGGTGGGAGCTGGGCATTTCCCAGGCAGCAAACCCAGAGCCAGGCAAGCTGCAGGGGCCACCCCTCTGTCCCTGCAGCAGGAATATGCTACAGAAGCCCTCCCGGAGGGGTAGAAGTGCCGGAGGGGTGGCACAGAGCCACGCTGCTCCCCACCTCGGGCTCGGGGCCAGGCGATGGTGGCTGCTCTGGGGAGACACTAGATGCAACCTACAATTGAGTTAGGCTAGAGACACATGCTGCTGGAGGGAGGGCTGGGCCACCAGGTCCAAAGGCCTCAGGAAGAGAGGAGGCCCATGCCAACCCCTTCCTGCCCCCCTCCTCTGTCCCGCCCCCACCCCTACGCCTACGTGTCTCAGACCAGGGTGACCACACAGGCAGGGCCTGGCTCCAGTCTCGTCCTCCCGCGGCCCGGTGAGCCCTGCCCTCCTCCCCACAGCCCCCTCCCGCCGATGCCTCGTAGCACGCCCTCGTTGGAGTACCCTGACCGATACGGGGAGTCTCCGGGCCTGGGCAGGAGGTGTGGAGGCCAGCCGCTGTGGCTGTGCCGACTGCCCTTGGGCGGGGGGTGAGCTCTCAGGCGAGAGCCTTATTTACCTAGTGCAAAAACTGTAAAAGTGTACAGACTTCACAGATTTTTATCTTAACTGCAAGTCTGACGATTTTTGTAAATGTTCTTGGTGTTTGACTGTAATGTAACTACTTCACCTGACGGTTGTACATAGTCCTTGGGTCCTGGTGCTGCCGAGGGCTGGCCGGGACTGCTGCTCTCCAAGGATTTTTCTTTTCTTCCTTCATACAGAGATCAGCGTTGGGCAGGAGGAAGAGGTTTGGGACCTGGTGTTTGTATTTGTTTCCTGCCTGTGGCATTTCTGTGTTGGCTTTGCAGCGTGCTGTCTGGGTGGGGGCCGCTGGGGACACACGCCCTGATAGAGCCAGTAATGGGAGCTCCCGCCCGAGGCCACAGAGAGCCTGTGTCCTGGGTGCTAGTCCCCACCTGCAGCCAGGGCCAGGGTTGCCAGAGGTCAGTCCCTGTTGGGAAAGACCACGGCCCCAGGGCCCCCTGGTCATCAAGACCAAACTGTGCTAGAGAAAGCTGATCCCTCCCCTACAGACACAGAAGCCTGACTCTCTTTGCTTAACTTTTTATAAGTTCAGCATGAAGGAAACTGCCAAACCTCCTCTAAGTGAGGACTTTTTCTGACTGCCCAGAAAGGGGGGTGGGGGACCAAGGTCAGAGCTCCACATGCCCCTGTCCCCCAGAGCATCTGCCCAAGGTACACCTCCCATTATGCCCATCCGTCTGCGGGAGCCAGACTGTACAGGGATACAGCCCCTCTTTTTTCTACACACTCAGCCACAAAGTCCCCCATCCCCACACTGTGGTTCCCCCCTCCCCCAACCTTTGTAAGTATGTGAAAAGGAAAAATGCAAAACATTGGAGTTTGGCTGGAGCGTCTCCCTCCAGCTGTGGCTTTGAACTATGTAATAATGTACAGAGAAAGTTGTTGGTGTTCTAAGACTCTGTGTGGCTGTGCAATTTCTGTACATTTGCAATTAGAAATATTAAAGATTTATTTAGCTATTTTAAGCCTGGCTTGCATCTCCATTCAGCTGTGGGACAGAGGTGATGTTGCATTTGGGGCCAATACTGTCTTTTACCAAAGGGACCCCAGCACTCGGTATACCTGGTGGCAGTTGTGGGTAGGGGAAACCCTAAAGTCAATGTGGTGGTCTCCTGGCCAGCCTGGCTCACCAAGTGATCTGGGATACTCCCCACCCTCCGTCTTGGGGTCTCTCCATGCCAGGGAGTGAAGTGGATGATCTCTTAAAGGCCCTTCCCTGGCTCTGACATGCTTGGACGGGAGGCCTTGTGGGTCTTGCTGCCTCCCAGGTGGTAGAGTGGTCCCTGCTCCCTCCAAGCTTTGCATGAAATGCTTTCTCATCCACACTGGAGTCTACCTCGAAGAGGGAAGAGACCAGGAAGAAGAGATTGGCCTAGGCTCATGAGCAGATCATAGCTGAGCCGGACCAAACATTGCCCAGCATCCAACCTGGAAAGCCAGAGTCCTGACCCAGACCTACCTACAGGGCTGAACCCAGGGCCTTAGAACGAACCAGCTCCCAAGGTCCTTCAGCAACACCTACGCCCAGGGGATTGCCCTGGGTCCTGCTTGGCATCTTTCAGTGCACAGTAACCCCAGGGGTGCACTCACGGGGAGACTGGCTTTGAGGGGATTAGTCCAGACTCCGGCTCCAGCCCCAGCTCCTAAGAAACTGGACACTGTCTGGGCTGAGGTTCTTTCAAGGGCAGGGCTACATCTGGTCAGCTCGCTAGATGGAGCCCCAGGTCTGTCACCTGCACAGGGGCCTCTGGCTCCAGCCAAGGATTTGAGCTCTGGGTGTTCAGCATCCCTCCAGAAAGGGCCCAGGCCCGTCCCTCTTGTTGCCCCTGCAGCCAATGAGAATCAGGGTACAGCTGAGCCACTGGCCAGTGCAGCGCTCACTGGGGACCCTTGCCAGCTGCCCCTGTGTTCCACCATCCAGCACTCTTGGCCTTAGGCTCTTCCCTTCCAGTCTCCCATGGGAGCCCCCACAACGTTGGCCAGCCTCTACTGGGATCCACCACCCTCCAGCCCCTCCTGGGTCCCACCACCTTAGGAAAGCACCAGCCATGCTGCTCTGCAGGCTCAGCACCTGCCCTCCCTCATCTGTGCTGGCACCAGCTACCCAAGGCCCCTTTCCTGCCCGAAGTGGCGCCCTCGCTGCCTTCTCCACCAGGCCCAGACCAGGCTTCCTCCCCAACCCCTCTCCTAACCACATCGGCCCAGGTTCACCAAAAAACCTGCGCCCTAGGTGGCCAAGCACTGCAGGAAAAAACACACCCCAGCTCAGCCTGTGCCCGTGCCCATGTGGATTCCCTCCCAGCTCCATTCTCAGCTAGGCCTTTTCCCCGCATCCTCCATCCTTTTCCTCCACACTGTACCTCTCTTCTGGTCTCCAGCCGGCCCTTCTCAGAGCCCACCTCCTCCCACACTGGGGGACCCTCTGCCCCTTCCAGGCCCACTACCAGCCCAGCCACACCAACCCTCCACGGCTGCAGGAGAGGAGGCACCTGTTCCTTCCCCAGGCGGTCCCATATCCTCTTGCTGCTTTCATGGCTCCGAGACCTCCAGCCCCCCGCCACACACCCCCGTTCCCCCACATTTTAAAGTACCAGGTCTCCACCTGCTCCAGGCTGGGTCTTCTCTGCCTTTCAGCTGCATTTCCCAAAAGCACACTGCCTGCAGGGCCTGGCAGCTCCGCACCCTCACCCCGTGCTCGCCCGCCATCAAAACCCTTCTACCGTCCTTTACCTCTGTGTGGCTAAGTCCCAGCCCCGTGCTTGGGGACCGCTGCCTGTCAGCTGGGGAGGTGCTCATGAAGTTCACTTAACTCAAGGAGACAGCAGTGAGTGAGACAGAGAGGAATCATTTCCTGTTGATAGGAAGCGTTTTAAAATGTTTTTATTTGTATAAATGTAAGAGGTACAAGGTACCCCCATTTTGTTATGGGGGTATATTGTGTAGTGGTGAAGTCTGAGCTTTTAGGGTATTCATCACCGAATAGTGGACATTGTACCCATGAAGTAATTTCTCATCACCCTCCCCATCCTGCTCCCTCCCGAGCCTCCAGTGTCTGTCATTCCACACTGACACTCACGTGTCCACATTATGTGGCTCCCACCCGTAAGGGAGAGCATGCAGCATTTGACTTTCTGTTTCTGAGTTGTTTCATATAGTTGTTTCACTTATAATGAGGATACAAATGGTGTGAACCTCTATACCTCTATTTGTGAATAAAATAGCATCAAATGAGAAGTTAAAACTGCTGGAAATGCAAAGGAAAAAAATCAA